CGCGACCGCCTTCATCCCGATATCGATACGTACGATGACGTACTTGAGAGCGCTTTGATTGCCGAACGAGTAATCAACAATAGCTTGCACCGTGGTGGTGCCGCTTTCGGATCCCCTCGCTCCGGACTTGAAAAGACGGGTTATGGCAGGGGCCGACGGGGCGGCGGTAACGGTGGCCAGATCGGACGGAATGGTAATAATGGCAACCAGTCCAGGGTGTCAGCGGCGAAGTCGAACGCACAGGTCAAGGAGACCGGTCCTGGCGCGCAGCGGAATAGTGATCGTTCTCGACGACGGGATCGTAACCCTAAATCAGACTCACCATTGTCCGAGGCCCAGATGAAAGAACACCTGGAAAATAACCTGTGCTTCAAGTGTCACAAAGCCGGGCATATGAGTCGAAACTGCCCCAAAGGACAGCAGGTTACGAGTAGCACGCGAGATAAAGCTCCTGGGTCGAAGACCAGCTATGCCGTTCGGTATGCCGACAGTAGTGAACCTGCCGATGATGCCATTCAGGTAACCGATGGCGATGGCGACGAACCTGAGGTGTTAGACGAGTTGCCCTGTGGGTCAGTGCGGTTCCGATTGGACGAGGACGACCAGGAAGAAGGTGCTGGGGCCGACACGGCTTTTGTACAGGACGACGCGGTGGACCCGTTTGGGAATCCTCCGCCGTACGAGGAGCTTCGGATGGAGGCCTATGATGCACATGCCTGGTATCGGAGGTATCAGCGGCGCTGGTATCGTTGGATCATTGACTATCTAGAGACGCGGGGCATGACGCATCGCGTACGTCAAACCTGTGAAGCATATGAGAGGCACGGATCTGATAGTACCTTTGTGTGTCCGGATGCCGTACGAGCGCATAGGCTGGAACGTGACGCTTTCATCGAGGGATCTTCGCGGTTCGGTGACCCAGTTGCTAACCGTATGGGGATGGTCGTTGAGGCGCAGATTGACCGGCTGCCGCACCTTTGGGAAATCTGGACACAAGAGTTCGCTATCGACTCCTACATGGTGCTCTCTGAGGACGGGTACACGCCATGGGTAATGAATGAGCCGTACCTTAGTACGTCGCTTGAAGTCCCTCAAGAACTCCTGACGCGGCGAAGCTTCGACTTCGTTGGTTGGTATCGAGCCCGCATGCTGGAATTTGTTGACATTGCGTGGCGGTTCGAACACGACGAACTTGGGATGGAAGACGTCGACTTCTTTCAGGAGTGGAATTGGGGCGAACCTTGATGGGCGAATGATGACTCGCAGGCTCCGTTCGTTACTGAGGACCCTGACGGTAGTGAAGGATCCAAATCAGAAATGGGAGAATACGCACCTGGGGCGCGGTTCAATATTCCCTCATCCGATGAGGATGAGGGCTCCACAGACGGCACTCCGGAGGGCGAGGTGTTCCTCGTTGACGGTGTCCTATACGCTGTTAGCGCCGATGACACGCTATGGTTCCGGGCCGCTAGCGTCGGGCTCACCGTTCCGGATGCTGACGTCGAGCCTGATCGGGCGCCTCGAGCGTATATGGCGAAGGTAAAGCAGCCGCCTGAGGGGAGTTTCACCTCTCTGCAGCGAAATGCAGCGCGAGTGAAATCGGCAGGGCGGAAAGTACCTCGGCCTATCGTGCTGAAAGTCAAGGTTAATGGGCATGAATGCCGCGCCTTACTTGATTCTGGGTCGCTCGGCGACTTTATGTCGAGCACACTTGCGGAGCAGCTGAAGGTTGTGAAGGTGCCTGTGGATACCCAACTGACAGTGCAGCTGGCTGCTCAAGGGTCGAAGACCAAAGTGAATTACTACACCGAGGTCGATTTAAGTTATGCACGCATCGCGTGTAAACGTACGTTCGATATTATGAATATCGACGGGTACGACCCGATCTTGGGAACACCGTTTATATGGCAGCACAAGATCATGGTCGGATTGAATCCGTCGAGGGTAATTGTCGGATGTGAGACGCCTGAAGGTCTTCGCGCTGGCGAAGACGTTAGTATCCTGGCATCCTGGGCGACAAGGATCAGGGAGCGATCTTTGGAGGATATTCGAAGGGAGCTTCATCAGTATGCGTCTCCCTTATACCAGAAGGCGGCAGAAACGACGCTACCTCTGTTACGACACGTGAACCATCGTATCCCTATCATTGACAAGGATAAACGATATCCGTTTCGCGCTTCCCGTTGTCCTGAAGGGTTCCGGGAGCAGTGGAACGCCAAGCGCGACATTTTCTTGAACTCCGGACGATGGGAGTATGCGAGCGGGACGAACGCTGCGCCAATCATGTTCTTGAGCAAACCATCCGGAGGAATGCGCAACACGGTCGACTTACGGGCGCGGAATGACAATACTCGCAAAATGTCGTCGCCTTTGCCCGATCAGGATGCCATCCGGCGTCGGGTGGCGGCCAGTCGCTATTTTACGGCGATGGACCTGGAGGGCGCATACGAGCAGGTCCGCGTGGAGCCTGAAGATGTGCCGTACACTTTAATGGCAACCCCTGATGGAACTATGGTTAGTCACGTCCTTCAGCAGGGGGACTGCAACGCGATTGCGACGTTCATGGCGGTGATGACTGACCTATTCTCGCCATACATCGGTGCTTGGCTTGAGATCTATCTTGATGATTTGATCGTGCACACCGACGATCTTGATGACCATGTGCGATGTGTGAAGCTCGTTATCGACATCCTGAAGGAGAACGAGTTCTACTTGTCAGAGAAGAAGATGCACTTTTTAGCGGATGAGATCAAACTATTAGGGCAGATAGTATCGCACCGCGGGATTCGGCTCGACCCCGTCAAGGTTGAGCGCATCCGAACGTGGAATGTTCCCACCAACCGCGACCTGTTACGGGGATTCCTGGGCGCCATGGGGTACCTTGCGGATGGCTGCGCAGGGATCCGAGTGCCGATGGATGTATTGAACCGGTTGATGGGGGATAACGTGGTCTATCGGTGGGGACCTACCGAACAACGGGCTTTTGATGAAATCCGGGAAATAGTGCACGCTCACCGAAATGTGCACCGTGTGGCAATGAGGTACGGTCCCGACGCCCCTCCTGTCCATGTCGTGACTGACTGATGCCTTACCGGCGTAGGTGGATGCATTCTGCAGGGCACTGATTGGCAGTCGGCTGGGGTCGTCGCGTTTTACTCTGCTAAACTGTCTCCTGCGCAACAAAATTATGCGGTGCATGAGATCGAGTTATTAGCTGGTCTAGAAACTATGCTACGTTACCGTGACTTGCTGCTTGGGGTGCAATTCACCTGGTACACGGACCATAAGGGCCTGATCCATTTCATGAACCAGCGCAATCTGACCGGGCGACAGGCGCGATGGTTAGAAAAACTGTCTGAATTTCACTTTGAAATCGTTTACGTGCCTGGGCTGGATAATAAGTTGGCAGATGCGCTGTCACGGATCTACGCGGCCGATGAACCTGGTCTTGTTCGAGCTACGAGCGAAATGGTTCAGTTTGATGAGGACTACCCGCCTGCCGAGGGTGCCGGAATGGCGATACTCACTGGGCTTGAGGCTCGTTTGGCGACGCTACGGCCGCGAGTGCCTCGTGTGTCTGCGGACAACGCAATCCGTGATCGGCGAGCTTCTCCCGATCTACATCGGGGCCACGTGTCGGACCCGGTCCGGAGGGCGCGTGCGGTCGATACCTTGCCGGCGGAGACAGGGCGAGCTGAGACGGCAGCAGAGTTCGCCAAGCGCATCAAGAAGGTGATGTTGCGGCTGCCGGCACAACGTCAGGAGGGCGGGAACCTGGAGTCTATCACGAGGCTATCAGAATCAGAACAGGCGAATACGCAGATCGCAGATGCTGACGTACCGCCAGCGGAACACCCGGCCCCGAAGCTACTCGATGTACTGCTAGAATATGACAATGGGTGCCGATTCCCGGAATGCGTACGAGGGAAATACCTGGCGGACCCCTTCTTCAGGCTAATACTTGAGGCACCAGACCAGTTCAAGAATTTTATGTACGAGAACGAAGTCCTGTACCTCAAGGAAGGGGGGATTAAATTGCTGTGCATACCTGATTGCTTGATCGGGGAACGCAAGGCACGCGAGATCGTCATCGCACGTGCGCACTCGATCTTGGCACATCTAGGCCCTATGAAGACGGTCGTGTACCTCAAGACGTCGGTATGGTGGAAGAACATGGTACATGACGTCCGAGCATTCTGTGAAAGCTGCGCTACATGTAGGCGAAGTAAACCCAATAATCAGAAGCCGTATGGGCTCCTGAACCCTCTCCCTGTTCCTACAATCCCCTGGGAGGCGATCGGCATCGACTTCGTCGGTCCTTTACCTGTGTCGAAGGATCGCGACGTGTCGTATGATGAAATCACGGTAGTGATTGATCCCCTGACGGGCCGTGTGCATCTCGTTCCGAGCCGGCAAGACTATAGGGCTAAAGATATCGCCGAGTTAGTTTTTGCTGAGATCTACCGATTGCATGGCTTACCGAAGAGGATTGTGAGCGACCGCGACGTCCTGTTTACAAGCACGTTCTGGCAGCACCTCAATAAAATGTTAGGGGTGAAACTCAGTATGTCGAGCGCTTACCACCCAGAGAGTGACGGG